CCTCAAAAATCATGTTTTCTACATGTCCATGTCAAGAGAAGATTTTATTTTACAAGTAAAATACCCGAAATGCCCCTTACATCAGCACTATTTCGGGAAAAACCTGGAACGACCAGATTTTCCAGATCTACGAGTTGTTTTGGCATCAAGTTGATTTTTTTTGTAAAAACACGAAGAAGAAACCCCCCCTAAAATCACGTTTTCTAAGTGACCATGTCAAGAACGGAATTTATTTCCTGAAGGAAAACCCCAAAGTGCCCTAAAATCAGATTATGCAACAAAACTTCAAAATGAGTCCATAGGAAGCTCAAAACACAAACGATAAGGTTTTGCCCAGAAATGACCATGCACGCAAACGTAACTTACCTATTTGGACGTGCAACAATGATCCACGACTTAAAAATATAGCCGATGCAAAATCCGACCCCCCAACGGGCAAAAAGGCAAAAATGGACTTGGAATGGAAAACATGGAATCCAAAAATGTATAATGGAGTGAAATGAACGTTTGGCCCTTGGCCACACTTCATACAAGATTAGAAAGACCCTATGAAAGAATGAAAATGGAATTCCCACACCCGATACAACCGTGATGAAGCAATGACTTGCAATTTTTCAAGGTTTTCATAATATTTCATGAAATTAAAAAGTTGTATAGACTACAATACACATGTCATTGGCCTCCGGCCTCATCTTATACATGTCAAATACATTGAAAGGAGTGCACTTATGTACACATTACATATATGGAATCAAAGAATACAAATTTTGACATATATGTCTACAAAATGACATTTTAGGCTAACATTCGCATGAAATGAAACTTAAAAGCTACACGACATCCAAAGAATGCTAGGCGTTACGAACGAAGTCTTCGTACCTGAAATATGCCCTAGTATCGTAGGGGTGAGTAACATAAAGCTACTTGTAGGAGATGAGCATGCATCGACCTAGCATTTTACAAATTTATCACCTTAAGGTGAAACATGTTAAAGGGGCTCATGCCACCTAACGTCTATGTCCAAGTGAGACTCGGGGAGCATCCTAAGCTACCTTAGAGTCTAAGCAACAAGAATCATGATATACATACGTGTATGAAATGAATCATGGTGGGGATAATCCAAAGAACACGACAAGAAGAATGCTTGAGCATAGATTAACATGAATTGCATTTTCAATACAATTGAACTAGGTCTAGAGTAATCCATACAACATGACAAAAGCATATTTGAATACAAATTAACAAGAATCACATTATCTATGTAATTCAACAACAAAAGAGCATGTTATACAATATAACAAGGTTTAAGTTCTCAAAGCCATCAACTTAGAATCTAAAACATAAAATAACAGTAGTGGTCCATGCCACCTAACGTCTATGTTATAAATGAATCAATAGGATCAATCCTAAGCTTTATTAGAACGTCAAAACACGATTTTCAATATCGATGCAATTTAATCAACATTGGAACTTCTAATACAACGCACAAAACACAATTTCGCAAAGTTAACATCCTGTAACTTAAAATGGAACGACAAATAAGAAACAACAAGTTACAACATCATCTAGTTATCAACTTGAAAATGAAATGCGAAATCAAACAAAGTGGATACTTGGACGTCACGCCGGATCAGACCGATAACATAGTTACTTTAGGGTTACTAGCCCATGGGTAACCTCCCTACGTGCGCACTAAACCATATAGAGGCACTATCCCCCGTACTAGAACCACGTCCTAGCCATAGTCAAACAACGACATCCCCAAGTTTCCAAAATCAACAAGTTGTGCAACAACGCATATATCAACAGGAATATGCAAGATAATCAACTTTCTACTAAGCACAACCAAATTTGGAAACCTATACAATACATGCTCTAAATCCACAACTAATATGATATAATGAATGTCGAATCTTTAGTGTGCGATTCGTTACACGCTATGCATGAAAGATGTTAAATACGAAATGTGCAAATCATTACACAAGGCAACAATATATTCAATAAGGAAAACATATTCTCATGAGTATAAACATAGTAACTATGTTATCCAATGCTCAAAACATAACCAAATGAATATACAACAAGTCCATGTCCAAGATTTTGATATAGAAATGACTTTCAAACACAATTAAATCCATGGCTCAATTCGATAGAATTTAATTAAATAAAAATAATTAAATTCCCTATATTCTAATTCAATTCCAAATAACCTCAAATTAATACATATTAAAGAACATGGCATGGTCATCACCTATATCCATTCTGAAACTCAATTAGGTTATTAGAACAATAAAGTAGAACTCTAATTAAATCATGCTAATTTAATTACCAAGGTTCTAAAGCAACTTCAAATGGTCCACAATTAATACATACTAGTAAACAAGTCATGACCAATACAAATATCAAGTTAACATCTTAATTAAGCTAATGGGACTACAAAATAGATTTTAATTAATTCTTTTAATTAAAATCTCTAGATTTTCAAACTTAACCAAATGCTCTCAATTTAACATATCTTAGAGAACATGCCAAGGACTAATGTAATATCACATTAAAAGCTTATTTCATGCAAGTTACACCTATGTAAATTAAACTTTCACTAAAGTTAAATATAAAATAAAGGTTGCAATTCTCATGCAATTAATCCCAATTTAATATATGTGAACAACCACATCAAAAATTAATTTTCTAGCGTGCCACAATTCAATTCCAAGTTGTATATCACCATGATGATTAAATCTTAAACATGGAATTTGATTAAATAAAAGGTTTCAAAACCTAACCGAATATTCTAAATCAAATATATGTGAAGCTATATGGCATGTAGATCAAGAATATCAAGTCGGAATTCAAATGGAGTGAATAATGCACTCGGGACAAATTAATTAATCAAATTAATTAATAATTACTAATTTTCAAAACACCTCCAATTACTTTGAAATTCAACTATGTTGAAGAGCATGCTAAGGCCTAATATAATATGCTAACACATATTAATTTCAAGCTAGTTAAGGCCATGTGAATTACTCTTTCACCTAAGATAAATATTAAATAAAATCTTTAATACTTATTCAAATGTTCCAATTTTAATAGACGACAATGAGCATATCAAGGGGCAATATAGAATCATGCTACATGTTTAAACCAAGTCATGAGCAACCGGGAAAATTAGATCCCGTACAAGAAAAATAAATAATAAAATCTCTAGATTTTATATTTAATCATGAAAACAAGTAGTATAAGCATCACAAGCATGCTATATAACAAGAATTTAAACCTAGAACATCTCCTACCTCAATTTGAGATGAAAACCTCAAAGGCCCACCGAAAAAAAAGTGTTCTGAATCCGCCGAAACTGAAGGGTTTTGTCGGGGACAACACGATCTATATGAATCCCCAAGAAGCCCCATGAAAATCCAAACTTGGCCTCAAACCCAAACTCAAAATTTGGCCAAAAATGGTTTCTAATAAGGGGTAATGGTAGAGCACGACGAGGCGAACAACAAATGCTAAGGCCGAAGAATTTCTACCAAGGAAATCAAGTGGAGGAGAAGAAAGAGAGAAGGCAACCCCTTGGACTCCCATGGCTGCCAGCCAATTGGAGGAAGAAGGTTTGAAAATTTGATTTTAAAAATTAGGGCAACCTATTTGTAGAAATCTCAAAAAGTGCCCCGAAAGGGCCCCACCGGGTCCGGAAAAGTGGATTTTGAGCAAACGCGCTCAAACGGCAAAACTCCGTGAACAAAAAAGATTTAAAATAAGAAAATATGAACAACGAAGAAATGGAGTTGAAAACTGAGTCCCAAGCAGAAAGTTATGCCCCGTACAAGTTCGGCGGCAACCGGGTCCAGAAACACTGAAACTGGAAAAAAATGACCAGAAGGAAATTTTATGAATTTACGAGTCAAGAAAACGTGAAAATGAATGCCGTACAAGGATCCAAGCTCTAGACGAGACATTTTTGCAATAACTTTCGTTAATTGCACAATGGCCCCTACCAAAAGGGTTAACTGCGAAACTACCCCAGAATGAAAATATCTTCCAAAAGATATTTTCTTAAATGCCCCTAAAATAAAATATCTTCAAAAAATATTTACAAAAAACACCCCAAGAAATGAAAAGGATTCTAAAGAATTGTGCATCCATACCCCTGTGGACACTGGGAGCAACCAGAGTACTTTCTTGAAAAATTGAAAATACGTATTTCGTGGAAACCACGCAAGATCAAGTTATATGAAGTCAAAAACTAACTCTGAGCAAGAAAAGTGAGGTTGTGTCAAAAACTGACAAACGGGGATAAGACAGAATAGGGAAAATGACGAAATAGTGCATAGTATCAAAAAAAGAAAAATGTGAAAATGACTCGGTCCTCAAAGGAAGTTGTCAATTCACGTGAAAGAGTCTCAGAAACTAATTCCGAGCTGTGATTGTATATTTTATTTCTTGATTTGTAATAATGGAAATCTCTCTCTATTAATGTATACCTAGAGTTAGGAAAACCATGTAAATATTGTGTTGTGCGTGAATGTGTATGATTGTTATCTTCTTATATGCTTGTATTGATATGGTGTGATGTGATGATATATCTCTAGAGTTGGGTGAACCATGTAAATATTATGTTGTGGGTGAAGGTATATTATGTTGTGCGTGAATGTGTATGATTGTTATTTTGATATATGCTTGTGTTGATGTGATCGATGTGATGTGATGATATTTTCGCTGTGTGTGATGAATAAAGAATTTAATTTCCAATAACAAATCGTTGAGTGGGTTCGAGGCAATTTATATATATATACCTTTGATTTAAATCTCCATACAACGTGTCTCATTTTGGACCCATATATATATATATATATATACCTTTGATTTAAATCAAAGGTATATATATATATATATATATGTATGGATGTAAAATATGTCAAATTAAGAAAGTTGAATGGCTGAATTTCCAACCTCACGTTACAAGGTCAATGCCAACTGAAGTCTAACTGACTCTCACCTCGCAAAACATGCATGACTTTTTCTTAACATAGTATACAATCTCTCCCTATAAATTACAACCTTTAACGGCCCTCAGGCACTCCTCCTCTCCTCGCCTCTTAATCAACCCCAATCTCGATCCCGATTGGACGTACATTAATTGCAGATCAATCTGAATTAATTATTTGTTTGTCATTGTCGGTAGGGATATATATATATATATATAGAGAGAGAGAGAGAGAGAGAGAGGGAGAGAGAGAGAGAGAGGGGGAGAGAGAGGAAATTAAAATGGTGATCGGGTGCTGCTGCAAGATTTGTATGCTGGCTACATGCCTGATAATAGTGCTGGTGATAATATTGCCATTTTGGCTGTTGAAGAAAGCTACTAAGGGGAAGGGGAAGGGCAAGAAACATCTCCTCTATGATTTTGACTTTGATTTCCATTCTGCAGCTGGCTCCGCCAATGAAACCTCTTTGTTTGGACCTACATCAAGGCCATTCCTGGGTTTTCCACCACCTCCTTACTAGCTAGGTACGTAAATACATACATACCCCGTACATATATATATATATATATATATATATATATATATGTAGAAGGGAAGCCGTCCAGAAGACAGGACCCTTTATTACTATTACTCAAATTTATTAATCACAATGGCTTCATGAATTAATTAAATAAGCAAAGTTATTTTTAGATTTAGAAAATATAACTAACTATGCTTTAGTTTCATTATTTTGCAGATATGCAAAGCAGATGAGCGTTCTCTCCTACTTTATGCTGCATCTTTGGCACTGTTTTGGACTTTTATGGAAATGTATTAATTATGTTTCACGTATTTTTTGTTTGTATTATTTCTGACTCAGGATAATGTAATGAACGGTTATGCTTGTATGGGCCAGTTAATTATTTTAAATTAATTTAATTAATAATTATTTATATATTACATGAGGATGGTATATATGGTAAAAATTATTGATGATGCTTTGGAGATCATTCAAATGATAAAAAGATCAAAAAATAAATAAATAAACAAATTAACTTTCTTCGTTGAATGAAAATCTTCACAAATTAAGTATTGACCTAGTTGAATAAATCTTTTGCAGTGGCAAGATGTTTTATCAAAAAATAATGTCATTATTATTATTTTTTTAACAGCCACCTAGTTATGTCCAAACTCTTAACATTTTATATTACTTAAATAAAAGCTTTTGTGATTAGTTTTTTGCCAGTTAATACTCCACCATAAATATTTGAAAAAGATATATTATTTTATGTTAGCTAATATTAATATCTATGTATATTTTTGAGATAAGTGTTATGCCGTTCTTTTTATTTATTTACATTTTTAGAAAAAGGTGTTACACTTTTCTTTTTAATTCCTTTTTGTTAATAGAATTTATTTCACATAATATATACACACACAATAAGGTCCAAACACGCCCACCAACAAATATAGCAAGACCAACAAATATATTCTTTTTTGGCCTTTATATTTGGTTTGGGATGAAATTTTAATTTCACCCCAAACCAAATATAAAATTTCACCTCAAACCAAATATAAAGGCCAAAAAAGAAAATGAAAAAATATATGAGCGTAGATAGAGACATTATATATTTAAACCCTTTGAAGTGCTAATAGTCCTCGCATTCAGCTTTATGCTACGTTTGGTGTACAGAAATGGAATGCTCATTCCAATCATTTTTTTATTTGGTATGCAATTTAAAGTGGGAATGACCATTCCTTTGGAATGAAAATTCATTCCGATGAATGAAAATCCATTCCACAACTAAACCTATGAAATGATCCTAAGTAAATTTTTTTTAAAAATCAACATCCCAAAAAACTTTCATGTTCTAAGTTCAAAAACTACCTCTAGCTACCTTCCACCACAACTACCTCCGCCTTTATTTTTTAATTTATTTATTTATTTATTTGGTACACACACACACTTGCCACCATCGAGGCTTGAACCCCTGACCTCATTTTGAGAAATAGGAGCCTGATACCACTAGGCCACTGGCTGTTGGTAACCACCTTCGCCTTTTACCACCACCACCACCACCACCGACTTCCACCACTACCATCACCTTCCGTCACCACCATACCGCCACCGCCTTTCACCACCGACATTGCCTTCCTTTATCGCAACTACTGCCACCACCATCACTGCCACCACCTTTCACTACTGCTACCTTTCACCACCGCCACCGTCTTTCTCCACCGCCACCACCTTCCACCACCACCGCCTTTTACTACCGCCACCTTCCACCATCGCCGCCACCACCTGTTGTCCAAAATATGTGGTATAATTATACCATATACTATAGTATTATTATTTAAATAATATGTAAAGATATAATGTATATATATATATAATAATAATAATAATTATTATTATTATATATATATATATAATTTCTTATAATATCTAATAAAATAAAAGTATACAAAATAAAGGAACCTAATTATAAGTCGATGTTACAATTTGATTCTATATCCTTAAGATAGATTCATCCCGCTACGGTGCTAACGGACTCAGTAGTGTCTATCTCCCAGAAAATAACGACTTTACTTTCTTTGGTAGTAGCACTGCAAACCGAAAAATTAAGCAAACCAGCTCGGTGTAGTACTCTCTCTCTGAAGAAGACTATGTAATGACCAGGTCATTTTCCTTCCTTTCCTACTTCTCAAATTTTACGGATAATTTTTTTTTGTTGATTTTTCCTTTCCGAGTTCAAGTTTTCGTCACTTTGTGTTGTTTCGAGTACTCGAGAATAGTTTTTGAGACTTTCTTTTGTATTGACAACGTCCTTGTGCGGACCACGTCATTCTCGTATTTTCATTTTTTGACATTTTTATTTTTTTCGTCTTTTCCCGGTTTCGTTTTTCTTCGCATAACCTCACTTTTTGTGCTTGGATTTAGTTCTGGCTTTGCATACATTCATAATATTTAATTTATAAAATATTTGCATTTTTACTTTTGTAGAAAAGCATGTTGGTTACTTACTTTTTCGTAAAGGGCATGAATGCATAGTTTATGAGAAACATTCTTTATTTTTAAGGTTTTAGTGTAATTAATTTTTGTCTTAAGGATCATTTTACAATTTAATTTGGAAGATATTTTTAAGAAGGACCTTTTTGCAATTTTTAGAAAGTGTGAATAGTGTCACACCTCCATTGGTCCACTTGTTGGCATTTCATTGGTTCACACTTGGGAGCCTTGGATGATGACATGTGGAGGGTGAGGATTCACCCACTTGTTGACCTAGGATGTAATGACCCGGTCATTTCCTTCTTTTGCTTTTTTCCTCAGAATTTTACAGATGAATTTTTTTCGTTGAAATTTCTTTTCTGGGTTTGATTTCTTGTCACTTAGTGTCGTCTCGGGTACTCGGAAATGGTTTCTGAGACTCTTTCTTTTGGATTGACAACTTCCTTTAAGGACCGCGTTATTTCCACATTTTTCGTTTTTCGACACTATTCACTTCTTGTCTTTTTCCCATTTGTCACTTTTTGGCACAACCTCACTTTTCGTGTTCGGATTTGATTCCGGTTTTGTATACATCCACAATATTTTAGTTCCATGCTATGTGTATTTTTACTTTCTTAGAAAAGCATGCTAAGTGTTTACTTTTCTTGTAAAGGATGTGGATGCATAACCTTTTTGTAATATTCTTAACTTATGGGGTTTTAGTGTAATTACATAAAGTAATTATTTTTCATCTTAGGTACCATTTTATAATTTAATTTAGAAGATATTTTAGAAAAGGACCTTTTTACAATTTTTGAAAAGTGTGACAAGTGTCACACTCCTATGGAACCACTTGTTGACATTTTGGTGGAACCACTTGGAAGCTTAATTAACACATGGAGGGTGGACATTCACCAATTCGTTGGCCTAGGATTGGACCACTTGTTGGCTTAGATGAGTGATAAGTGTATACTCCAAATTAAGTCTTGCAATTATTTTTGGGCCACTTTAGGATTATGGTTTTAAAGAAGGGTTTTTGTGCAATTGACCAAACTTGTGTGTGTTGACTATGGTGTAAGATCACATAGTGAGTGGAGGATTTCTATTTCCTCCACTCACTCTTCATTTCATTGTTTCATTTTCTTCCTCACCACAAACCCTAGCCACCATTAGAGAAACTTGATGCTTAGGCCTTGACTTTGATTTTTGAGAACCTTTAATTAATTTCCAAGCTTAACCTTGGGAATACTTTTTGTTCCCCTCATCCTCCTCTACATAACCCTTGAAGGGTTTCCCATTTAGTGTTGATTTGCCTTGGATTCAAGGGGAACAATTCTCTTGTGAGGTAGGGGGTGTTATAGTTTATTTTCTAAATGATTTTAATTGCTTTTGTTGTGAAATACAAGTTGTATGCATGTTTTATATCAATTTGAGAAATAAATGATTTATTGTAACTTGTATATAACTCACTTTAGACTTGATGTATGGCATGACCATGACTTGATCTTTGTTGTATATTAATTTGGGGTGATTTAAATGAGTTTTCAAATCTAGATATTTAATTAATTGAAATTGATTTAAATTCTACTAAATTGTACCTTGCTTGTATTCCCTTTTTGACTTGATATATGGCATGGCCATGACTTAGTTCTTGTTATATATTTATTTGGGATCATTTGAATAACTTTTGAAAAATTAGAGATTTAATTAATTTAATTTAATTAAAATCTACATGATGGAGTTTTGCTCATTTTGCTCTTTTGATTTGATATATGTAATAAGCATGCTATGTTGTTTAACATATATTAATTTGAGATTATTTGGAATTAATTTGAAATCTAGAGACTTTCCATGATTAGGTTGAAAATCTCTTAAAATGTAGTATGTTTAATTATCCTTATGAGCATGCTACTAACTTGATGTAGAATTAGTACTTGTGGCTCCTGAAAATGGTAATTGGACTTAGCATGATATAAAATATCATTGACTTGTAAACCTTATTTAAATATATATCTTGTGTAGGTATATAGCTTGTTAGAATATTATAATTGCTTACCTTGAAAGTTAGTTGCTAAATTGTAGCATATTTAGTACTTGTAGCTTAGGATGGTAGTATAGCTTAATTGTTGTAAGATATTTTTACTTTATGTATAAATTACATATTAAGAACATGACATGTCATATGCTATTTAGACTTGAATTCTAGGACATGGTTTGTGTGGATTCAACTTTACTTGTGCATGGAATGTGGTAACTTACATTTGAGTTTGTATAAGTTTTAAACTTCTTGCTTTTGGAAAGCTTGTGAGGACAAAATTTATTTGATGGCTAGGGTTTGGCTCTAATATGGAGATAAGAGTCTTCTAAGTCATAAGTGCGCACTATGTGATACCTTGTAGGTCGTAATTACTTGAAAATACTTGCTTGGTCTAGCGACCGAATGTCCTAGTCTTTTCGCTATTTGTTTTCGCATTTAATTTCAAGCTGTTAATCATGGATTACTTGTGTCTTAAGAATTAATGCTTACTCTGGATATTTGAATCCTATTTAGTATACTTGAACTTGTAGACTTGCTCCATGAGTTTAAATTTCATTTAGTATACTTGTGTTATGTATACTTGTGTAATCCCCAAAGAAGGACTCGAGTCAATCCAGCCCGTCGTCCCATGACTTTAGAAACAAGACCCCAATGACATCATCACATCAAGGTCACCACGAAATCCCAAGAGATGACGCCCTAACATCAATCTCAACCAACCAAACTGGAACAACCCACAATACCTAAACAAGACATAGGGATAAACAACTACTAAGTAACATAACAACAGACTGCGTACTCACACAAGTAGTAAGAATCACATAAGGCATACCAATGTATGCATCATACAATCATGCTAAGAATAACAAGCATATGTAACA